CCCTGTGCTCTGTCCCCAGTTCTCGTTCCTGATGACAGAAGCCCTGCTGGTGTTCTCCCCGGAGACCTCGCTGCTCCGCTCTTTCTCCCGCAAAGTCAAAGTGCGGGTGCACTGGGTGCTCCAGCTGCTCGCCCTCCTCTGTGCGCTCCTGGGGCTGGCTGTCATCACCTACAACAAGCACCTGAACGGCAAAGCCCACTTCGTCACCTGGCACGGCCTGACGGGGCTGCTGACCGTGCTGTACGCTGGCGGGCAGTGCGCAGGCGGGGTGCTGCTGATCTTCCCCAAGTTGATGAAGAACTGGACGCTGGCCAAGCTCAAGCTGTACCACGCGACCTCGGGGCTGGTGGGCTACCTGCTGGGCTGTGCCAGCCTGATGCTGGGCATGTGCTCCCTGTGGTTCACCACCTCGGTGACCAGTGTTTCCTGGTACCTCGCTATGCTGTGTCCCCTTCTCACCAGCCTGGTTATCATGAACCAGGTGAGCAACGCTTACCTGTACCGTAAGCGGAGCCAGCACTGAGGGCCCGGCATGGATCCAAACTTCCCCTGCGCGAGCCAGCGAGGCTGGGACTCCCCCCACAGCCCCCCATGGGGGTCTCCTGCTCACACAGGGTCTCCTCAGAACTAGATTTCTACCTACTCATCTCTCATTAGTCCTGGATTGTCTGTAGTGTCTTGTCCCTGGGGAGCAGCTACGATGTGCGTGACACGAGTGGGCAGCAGCTGCCCACCTCGTGCCTGCCTTGGTGGAGACACTTCCCAGCACAAGTAACGCTGCTGGTCCTGGCAGCAGCTTGGTGCTCGGTGCTGGGAACTGGAGGGTTCACTCAGGATTCCTGCTCCTTTTCCCCTTCCTTGCCACCCAGGGCTGCTTTGGAGCAGGCAGGACAGGAGCTGGCGCATTCCCGGTGAGGAGGGCAGGGAGTCCCCGCTCCCCCAGGAGGCTGCAGCGGGCACCATGCTGCCTCTCCTGCCACGAAGGCGGCTTGGCCAGTAACAGCACAGGGCACGGTTGTGGCTTCAACCACAGGAGGACTGAAGCAGGGTGGCAGCACCCAAGGTGTCCGTCGCAGGGCACAGCCCTACGTAGGGACCCAGCAGCTCCCCAGGACCAGTGCAGTCAGCCCCTGCCCAACAGCCGCAGATCTGAGCATCCATCACCACGCACAAATCCCTCCTGCAGGCTTGCACAGCAAAGCTTCAGCCTGGCAGGAGGTGGGGGGGGCATTTTAAAGACCA